AAATAGGCTCCAATGGGAACATATGCTTTCGGTTCTCCTGTTCGTCAAAACATTGGTAAGTCCCCCAAAAATTGCATAAAAAGTGTTTCCCACCTCAAAGATACAGACACTATGCAAAAGAAAACTAATCTGATCTTTGGCATGAAAAGGATCCCAAACAGCACATAGAACGTTCTACTGTGCAGAAATGACTGAAAAAAAGCCTGAAAAGACAACAAAACTGTTAGGGATCAGGAATCAAACTAAATTCATACTATGATTTAATTTGAAATTAAATGAACATTTAATTTGCTCAAGAGATAAATTCTTACTTTGCTCACCCCCAGGAATGTTGGCAGTGTCCGCATCTTGAGAAATTGCCTGGATGTTGGGGCGAAGCTTCCAAGTTTTCAGTGTCCCTAAGTCGAGGCGTCCGAATCTCGAGGCCCCACTGTAATTCCCGTTTAAATTTACAAACAAAAATTTCGGTTTGAAGAAACACCTGAAATTTCTCTTCGCAGTTCCGCACTCAAAAGTCAAAATGCGATTACAAATCGATACTTGAAAGGCAAAATATGCCTCTCCCTTTTTCAACGCATTTCATCATGGACAGTCGTCAGGGCAGAGTTTTCGTGACATTTTACACTTGTGGAAAAAGAGCAAATTTCTGTTGGGGTTTCAATGCCATCCTGCATCATTCACGAACACCTGTAGCCCCTAGGGTTGCAGACAAGTTTTCTGGGGCAAAAGATAAAAGGGATGCGAGTGCTCCACGGGTAAGCAACCTGCGACCTTTGCGGTCCAAAGTTCAAGGGTTGACGCGACAATTTCTACTATTCAATGCAAAAAAAAGAGGGAGAGAGATGAAAAACAGTCTTGCTTTCCTCAAGCAGCTCAGAGGGGACCTCGCTTTTATGAGAGGAATTATTGACTTTTGAGGATTCAAAACACGCTCTTGAAAGATTATCCTCACAAGTGCAGAATTTGACAGGAACGTCGACACTGAAACTTTCAAAATCCGTCATGTCACGCCAGCAAAGTTTTGAGGTCTCGATCTCTGAAGATTTGTAGACAGGAGACTAAAACTACTCGGGAATATTAGAGGGACCCCGAGATAAGGACACCCAGAAATAAGAACGACTCAATTTAGGGACGCTAGAAACTTGAACAATCAGACCCGACAACCAGACAATCTTTCAAGATACGGACACTACCAAACTCAAACGAAGGAACATTTTCATTTTTCAAAATTTTCATACCTCCTGAACAAATTCAGCTATTTAGATTCATAAAAGATGTAAATAAAATTCATCAAAAATTTACTGCAATTTGCAATGCAAAACAGGTTTTTGTGTGAGCATTTTTCAGTTTATTTTTCATTATTTGGGCACAGTATAGGAAGACTTGTGCTTGTTTCTGTTTGTTGGGATCTTTTGAATGCCAAAAGATCGGATTCTGATTTTCTTGTGCACAGTTCTTCGAATTATGTATCTTGAAGATAAGAAAAAAATTCTTCAAATTATGGGCGAATTCTCTCCAAATTTCCAAAAAAACAGGAGAACCAATTGAATATGTTCCCATTGAAGTCTACAGGGAAATTTGATGTGACAAGCAGACGTTACGACCCAGGGATAAGTTTCAAAACCCAATTCTGTCTGCATCTTGGGGCCCCTATTGCATGAGGATCCCCATCTTGGAATGGTAATTGAATTTTCTCATTGAATTTCAAAGTATTGCATCTTCTGCCAACTCTCAATAGAAAATCGCAGGTCGTCACATTTCTTTGAGCTCCTCACAACTGCCCATAGCGAACATAATTTGTAAAACTCCAAATCCATGAAAAACCTCAAATGCATTCAGGCATCGTCAACATTAAAAACACGATAGCCGACTTGAATCCTTTAAATAAAAGGTTATTTCATAAGCTATAACGTTAGGTAGTTTATAAATAAAAAACAATTCCATAATATACGCAAAACGACTGTAAAATGTCAACTGAAATTAATTTAAAAAAAATATTCAACATATATTTTCAAAGATTTTTCCCAAACCCTGCCATAATACGGGGGTCTTCGACGAAAGAAAATTTTCATCAATGACAACTGATGAGGAATACGAAATCCAAGTGAAAAGCATCTTCATTTTCTGCTTTTCGATGCCCTGGTGTTTGAAAGCATAGCTTCAAGCAGAGGTTGATATACATGCAAACTATCGAAAACTCATTCCGCATACATCTAAAATTACATAGACGCAAAAAAAAATCGATAGAAATTTGCAAAACCCATTCCTTACGCCGAGTCCAACATTAAAAGCGATCATTTTGATTTTTTAATGCCACACGTACGAGATTTGCAGCTTTCGAATTTGTTTTGCAGTCGTATATATTGACAGCAAAAGCTTGATTATCTGGGACGATAATGACAATGTGACAAGAAGCACGGAGCATGATGATTTCATCGGAATTTATCTCTTTGAGAATTTAGAAAGAGCAGATTTTTTTTTTAAATGAACAGTATGTTTAAAAATTTTGTTCTACTATAGGGAACGTACAGTTGTAAATGAATAAATACTCTTCTTACACATGTATTTTTGTTTGTTTCAGTCAACATTTCAGCAAGATCAGTATAATTTTAGGAAATCCGAGAAAGGGAAGATACGAGAAGTGTACTTCGCAGTTTAAATTTGTTTCGATTGCTTCATAAAAAAAATGTTAAAATTTATGAAAATTTCACATACATCTGTCGTGGAAGCATTTTGAAGCAATGATCATCCGCTTCCAGACAAAATGTTAGATTATTCCTCTTGAACTACAGTACTACAATTAAGACTATATCACTCAAATCAAACCGTGTACAATTCAAACCTGGAAATGCAATTTAACATCACCTGCAGAGAACTCCTGATCCAAATGCATCACGATGATGAATCTCACGTTCTTAAAAAAGAAAGAAAAAACCGTCGTAAAACGGGCAAGGGTTTCGGATGGAAGGAAAAATGCACATCAAGGACCATCACGCGTTTCTCCCATAAGCAAGCTCGCAATGTAGGAGTTCCTTTCCTCTTCTTCTTCGTCTTAACGGGATTCTCTGTACACAAACGACGCGTCGCTTGACACAAAAAAGACTAATGACCGGCACACTATATACTCGTGAAACGCAGTCCGAGGCACTTCTCCTTTTAAAATAACACGAAGAAAAGGACCCGCCACTCGCGCGTCGCTCACACATTCTTCATCATGACACATTGTTGAACTGTCGGCCTGGATTACACTCCGCAATCTCGGTATTATATCCTGGGCAGCTGAAAGAAAACACAAATGAGATGAACGAAAAACCGTTCGCTGTTCCATCCCAGCGACGAACATGAAAAAAAAACAAAACAATTAAATCGTGTACAGCAGTCATGATCTGAGTAGCTCGTTTCATGGGACACGATTTTGAAGAAAATAAATGAAATTGCCATTTTTACTTGAATGCCACATGCCCTTGAGTGAGACGCGCACCTGCATTTTTCAGACTAAAATTCGGATGAAGATGTATCCACGATTAAGACACACACCCCATTCTTAGGCTAACAATTGCATCATTTTAGAAAATAAAATTCGTCAGAAATCAAATTTTGACTTGAATTATAATAAAATTAAATTTCAATTCCCCCATTTTTATTTTTAGAATGATCTTTTGGAATTAGTAAACAGAAATTCCGTGTTGGGATCCAATATGATGCACACCAAAGTCTTGAACATAAAAAAAATATTTTATCGACTATTAGATGGACCCTCTTCCCTTCCCCTTAATTCATAAAAATGTAATCACAAATGAGCGACAAGTGATCAACAATTTTGTAATAGGTTGAATCTCAAGGAAAACAATGCCAGGAGTTAGAATTAAATGAAGCTCATAATTAAAAAAAAAATACTGTATGAATACTCAAAAATTGAATAAAGGATACATTTCTACTAATTTTTTCAACATCGAGAAAGCGGATCATGACGGCTATACACACACAAAGCGACAAAAGCGAAGAAAAACGCAATGAATCCGAAGGCTCTTGTTAAATGCGTTTCTTTTTCATCAGTTCACTTTTTTCCACTCAGTCCCCTCACGCTTTGGGACAGCTTTTCGAAACAAGCAGCCCGGAAATCACTCACGTCGACATTTCGACAGCTACGACCTCGTCGAAAAGTCCGGACACGTCATTACTCGCGAACCTATTCACTGGCGTCCACTTTCGAGATAACCGAAACGGATAACGAGAAAATACACGTATTGCCCTCAAAGAAAAATAGACTAAAATGAAAAAAAATCAACAAAAGGATGACGCCCATTCTCTATTTCTCCTGGAGGAAAAAGATATTAAAGAATTCAGCAGGAAGAGCAAACTTGAATTTCGGCACAATCCAAAGAATACAATCGTCACAGCGGAAATGATTACTTCATAAATCTGTCCGAATCACTCGTTTAAAAATCAATATTATTCTTGTTTTTTACGCCTACACAAATTGAAATCGAAAAAACAGGATTAATTTTCTCTTGACGGATTTCAATATTGTATTTAGCACGCAAGAGAGAACAAAAATCATTTCAACTGGGTATTCATTCAAGCCAACCTTAGCTTGATACATTTGGGAAAAAAAACCTGCCCATCAGAAAGAATTACCAACAGAAAAGAGTGTGTAGCGCTCTAAATAAATTTTCAAGTCGAGAGAAAGAAAAACTTCACACGGCGAATCAATTGTAAAAGATAATCGTTGAAAAGAGAGAAAACTCAAACCTTTCATGAATGCAAAATTTTCGAAAATTTCTGTCAGTAAATCTTCGTCACAAATCAACAAGTTGCTCAGAGATAAAAATTCCTACAGTGTTTTTTTCCGTTTTTTTTTTAAATTTCCATTTGAGCTCGAAATATAGTCTTTGATACGTTTTTATTAGCAGAGTTTACTTAGTGAACGAGGTTGAGTTGGGTTGGTTCAGCAGTTTTACTTGGCCGTTTACGTTATTATGTGTGTGTTTACTGTCTTTTTATGACCCTGCTGTAGTCCGCTCGTGGTCAGCACCGACGGCGTCGTACAGAGTCTGGAAACCGTCGTTAGCCAACAACTCCCTGAGCCGGGCCTTAATACTGGCCACGACGCCCGGGCCATGGTACACCATGGCAGTGTACAGCTGGACTAGGGACGCCCCGGCGCGGATCTTGGCATAGGCGTCATCGCCCGTGAAAACACCGCGCTGGGGCTACTACCCGTCCGCCGGTGGCCACCGCCGTATCTTCGACGACTACCATCGGCACCTGTTCAGTGCGTCCCCTGCTGGGCTGTCAGGCGGTCAGACGCTGAAAAGGCCCGAGCTGTCCCTTTGGTCTCGCGACACCGTCGTGTTCGACACAATTAGCCCATCCACGCCACTCTGTTAATCGGGTTGAAAAAAACAACCAAACCCGGGAATGACACTTGAAAAATAAATTTCCTAATTAAAAATGTTAACGCGTGTTCACCGCCGGAAAACGTCAAAACTCGAAGCTTTGTAATAAACATTCCAAATATTAAGTAGAACATAGCAGAACTCGTACATTACTTCAACTCTTCCGAAAATTCGATTTCAATTCTCTTTAATAGCTTAAATCGAATTTATCGTTTTTCTTCCAAACCAAGCATAAAATGAAAACCTTGGCACTTCGTGAATATAATCGAAGAATGAAAACTAAAATGAGAAATTCCTATCGCACATTTAAAGGAGTATTTTTTACATTTATCTTAATGAGACGGACATTAGGAAAATATTTTCTTGAACTACCGAAACTGACTTTCCCTCGAGCCCACGCAGATAGTGACTTTTTATGCTTGAAATCGACTTGATTTTTCCAGAATCTCTCAAACATTTTACCAAGACTTCGTCGATAATTATTTTTGAAAATGTTCGAAGAATTTCGGACAATTTATAGATGATGCTTATTCACCACAGGGGAATGTTAGGCTCAAAACAATTGTTATTATTGTATATGGTTAATACGCGGTAGACAACTTAATGCGATGACCGTAAAAAAAAAAAGAATGTTTGGTACTAACTTCGGGATCCAGAAACAATTTGGCCATGGAGGAAATGTCATCGGCAGATAAATCCGGCGACACCTTGACCACTAAAGGAACACGACGTTTGAGTTTCACTTCCATTTCGTCTTTTGCACTTTTGACCGCAGCCAAAACACCGGGCAATTCAGCATCTCCTTGCAAAGCCCTCAGGCCAGGAGTGTTCGGACTACAGAAAATAAAACGTGAGAAATATTCTCAGCAAAATTACCTTTCCTCCCCCATAAAACAAAATCCAAAATTTGTCTTCATAAAAGAAAATCAGAAATTCTGCTTCGTAAAAGAAAATCACGAATAATCCAATCAACACCTGCTGATTATAATTCCTATTCATAAAATTTCATACGAAAATGAGAAGTTACAACTAAAAGAGCGCTTGATCACATCCAGAATGACACCGAAAAGGATCATCGCACATGACAAATCTAAAAAAAACGAAATAAATTGGACACGTTCAAAACACTTGAAAGTTTTTTTTTTTTTTTTTTTGCCTGACAACCCCTTAAATTTACAAAGTAACCGTACTGTACCTAGAAATGTTGATCACGAGGTAATCCGCGACTGGAGCGAACTTCCGGACGCCATCCGCAAAGTCCTTTTTGGCGTCCGGCGACGTTTTGTTCTTGCCCAGGTTGACGCCGACGAACCCGTTTTCGGGCCGGGGTGTCGACTCGAGTCGGCCCAACACAACGTCGTGGCCGGCACTGTTGAACCCGCAACGGTTCACGATGGCCTCGTCGGCGGGTAGCCGGAAAACCCGCGGGCGCTGGTTCCCGTCCTGGGCGACCGGCGTCACCGACCCGACTTCCACGAAGCCGAACCCGAGCTTGAACAGGTTCTGGAAACACTCCGCGTCCTGGGCAACAAAGACACGAAAAACTCCATAGTAAAAAAAAAAAAAAAACAACCTCGACTCTGACATTCATTAGATCCCCTCTGATACAACTCCCTATCCTATCAGAATTGTACAAATTTGCACAATCGAAATGAGAAAAGTATTGCAGGTGGACTCTCTCTACAACGATCTTGCCTACAGCAATTTTTTTCGATACAGTATAAAAAAAATTTCCTTGTGGGTCCCATAGGGTCTCTCCCCATGTTATACGGGTCCTCTACAACGAAATTCTCTTCAAAGCGAATTTTTCTCTGGTCCCTTGAATTTCGTAGCAGAGAGAGTCCATCTGTATCCTGTAAACGCCACCACAATCGGATTAATCGAAAATTCGGAGTTTCACTTCCTGTTTTCAAACCTACGAAAAATTCCCACCCAAGAGAATAGCTGGTACAGTCGGAAACTACACATACAGTATTTTCTTGAGTTTCCATTCTAAACTAATAAGCTTAATTTGTACACGAGAAAGTATCAATGCGCATGCTAAAATTACTGAGGCGCATGAAAATTTCGTTTCGCAAAAAAACGAAGACGAGTTCCAAGATGTCGAAGCTTGTCATGGAAAAAAATCTGTGAAAGGAAAGAAGCCATCACCACTAATTTGAAAAAAAAGTAAGTTGAAAAAAAGTCTTCAGTGTAACGAAAAAAAAAAAGTATCAGTATACCCAACAAAAGAAATTCGAAATAAATCCTCGTTTATCTCACATTAATTGTATTCCAAATTGAAAAATAAATAATGATTACCGAAAAATGTCGAGGGAAAAGGAAATTAAAAAAAAATAAAATCCTGGTTTAACCCAAAAGTTATCTTCTTGAGTGTCTTCAATGCCGTAGGCGTAATTTATGACTCAGAGGATAAAAAAAAAAAGCTTTTTGTCTCGCCATTTAAAACATGACTTCAGTCCTTCGTTTATCTGCTGTATTATTCCCTTCCTTGTTTGAACTCAACTATTTCAAATTAAAGGGGGTCACTCTTCAGTGCAGGGGCATGGATTACAAATCATGTTTAAATCAAAGTGAATGACAAGAAGCAAGAAAACGAATTTTTTGTATTCGAACTTTTTTCACACTTGAAAAAATTTAGCTAAGCAAACAAATTCATGAATACAGTACTGTACACAAATTATTCCGCGAATAAAAGCCAGAAAACGGTTATAAGCACACCAATTTCCTATTCGAATATTCTTTTTTATTTAAATTTTCATCTACTTAGTTTCAATTTTTTTATTTCTATTTGAACTTTCAAGTTTCATAGGTTTTACACAACGTTTTATAACTGTAGTATTTACCGAAGTGAAGGAAAAACTCGTTAAGCGAATGCAGCATCCCAACTC